GTAAACATATTTCATCTTAGAGTTTGTTTTTCTGACTAGAACTGCAGACAGGTTTGGATGCCTTAAAAAAAATTTCAAGGAGTTTGCCGCACATACACTTGGATAAATCTAAACATTTTTACTTCATATTGGGTTATATATTGGTTGATGGCAAGGTTAATTTGGTCTAAAGGAATTGGCTCGCATGGACAGAGCTGAAAAACGTATGCGCAAGTGCTAGGTTTTGGCGCGGAAAAACGGATTTTGAGTCGTTCGCATTGTTGAGTCTCTACACTGACGTTGTTTTCCTTGCCACTTTTCTTTTGCAGAACAACTTCCAAAAATATTTTGAACACCCCCTAAATACATTGAAAATCAATTTTCTCCTTAAGAGCTTTTCGAAATAGGGAAATGCCCTCGCTGACAACAAAATACTTTCGGTTTTAAATGCCAGCTCCTTATTATTTTTGCAAATTTCGCTAAACTTTTAATCTCGTACGCTTGAGTCCGCGTTGTTGACCGCATACCTTTGACGTTATTCAGCTCAGTCACTCGCATGGTCATCAATTAGTATAGGTAATGGCCTGAGGCCGAGTAAAATTAAGGATTAATATCACGCGTGTTTTCGGAAGTAGCTGAAATTGCCCGAGTCGCTGCGCGACTCGGGCAATTTCTGGTGTGGGAAATTAACGTCTCCTGCCCCTAACCCTGCAGGAGACGGGACCTTCATTTATTCATCCCTATCTGAGAAGACTAGAATATCTAACCATTTCTTGATGTTATAGAAAGGTAGCATATTCTTCTCAATTATTTTAAGACTCTGAGTTTAGTTTAGTTTGATGTGGTTAAGTGTGGCAGGTGAAGTTTGGTGCAGTTTGGAAAAGTAGGTGTAGTTTGGTGTTCTTTGGTGTAATAGGTGTAGTTTAGTGTAGTACATGTAATATGGTGCAGTTTGGTGTGGTTGTAGTTTGGTGGGGTAAGTACAGTTTGGTGTACTTTGGTGTAGTAGGGGTAGTTTGGTGAAGTAGGTTTATCAACTGAGTTGATATTGTAAATTGGCAACCGTAAAGAGTTTTTAGGCTGATGTTTTGAGTGCTAGCCCTTCATCAGAGCCCTTCGTTAGCCCTTCAGTCTTTACTCTTACAAAGGGCTAATGCTCAAAATGTCAACTTTGAAACTCTTTACAGTGGTCAGTTCATTATATCAACTCAGTTGATATAACCATAATTACCTTGTTTAACTCCCCCACCAATGCAATACCACAGTTTCTTTAGAAACTAACACCTTTATGAAGTAGGTTTATTTTAGTGAGGTTTGGTGTGTTGGTTGTAGTTTGGTGCGGTAGATGAAGTTTGGAGTAGTAGGTGTAGTTCGGTGTTGTTTGGTGTAGTTGGTGAAGTTTGGTTAAGTAAATGTGGTTTGGTTAACTGGGTGTAGCTTGGTATAGTAAATGCTGTTTGGTGAAGTAGGTATAATTATGTATAGTTTGGTGATGCCAGAGAGCAATGGCCAAAACAGGTTTTCTTGTTTTGGTAGCACAGCATGTCTTCCATTTTACAAATTGAATGTCATTATCATGAAATACCTGTTAACAGGTATTGGTAGTTCTTTGCCTTATACAAATCTCGTGTGTCCAGTTCCAGAATAGGCTGCTCTGGTCTGGAATCTATATTTGGTTAAAGATGTGCTAGTGTTAGAAAGAGTTCAGCAAAGAGCCTTCTGGCTTGTTCTCGGGCAAAAACATGGTGAGGTGGAATATGAAGATTGGTTAAGGAAGCTGCAGTGGCCCACGCTCGAAACACATAGATTGTTTCTTTAGTTAAATGCTACAAGATCGTTTTTGACATGAACAAACTGAACTTTAAAGATCTCATCAAATTAACCAAATGCAATTCAACCCATATCAATCATCCCTATAAGTTCTGTGTTAAGTCAGCAAAGTGTAATCCATATAAACACTATTTTCCAATCCAAACTGTAGGGAACTGGAATAGTCTACCAGGATCTACTGTTGAGGCTAGGAGCCTGAGCCATTATAAGAGTGTACTGAAGTGCTTTCTAAATATCCTTTGGCCGTTTGTCTTGTTTATCCATTGTTACTATAGATTGTCAGGTATCAAATTTACCTCTTGTACTTTTGTCTAAGTAGGGCGAATTGAAGAACTTGCCAAAAATGTTTCAAACAATCATCACCTTTTTTTAGTAGAGGAGCAGCACATCACTTGGGAATAGTATTGTACTTGTAAGATAGATTTAAAGTTCCCAATGACTGCCAAAAGAATGACAAATATTTGCATATTTGGAGTAAAATTTACACAATCTTCTGAAAATTTCTCCCATAAAATAAGTTGATTTAAATCATTTATCCTTAAATACATTCATTTGAGGGAGTGTTATGGCAAAACAACAGAAAAATCAATGTTTTAGGACTGTCCCTCTATTCTCAATATTCTCATAAATACCCTCCTAAGAGGATGAGGACAGTTTGTGGCTCTTCCGAAGCTGGTCAACCATACATTGTGACAACTGCTTATTTAATCAGCCAGTTCAGAACTTTTAGTAACTTAAATTTCTTCCCAATAACATTAATCATTGGCTGAAACTTTAAAGACTTAATTTTTTGTTCTACATAACCCAATGAATTATCCAGATTCCAGAAGATTAAGAATACCAAGAATAGAACAACAGAAATATCTAAAATATATTTTAATGTTTTAACACACGCTTGATTTTTGTCTAGCTAGGACACATTCACCTGCTCAAATGTATTTGATCATACATTAAATTATGTCATTTACACCATTTAAATTTGAACTATTAATTATTAATACACAATGCGTAAGACTAATTTATTAACTTTCGTGATATGCAGTCACGCATTTTGACCAATACTTTTACTGAATTACAATAGTCAGTACAATGATGCATTTCTATTCACATTTGGTTTACTTCCCAAGATGTCCTGATTATTAATTTTTGTGATCACTTTCCTCAAAATCGAGCAAAAGAGAGAGAAACAGTGACATTTTGCCTCACACTCAGTCAATTGAATGACAACCTGAAAACTTATTGGCTGCGAACACACAACTGCACATCACAAATATATTACTCAAGTACTTGCTATCATCATTAATTATTCCTCTCATTATTTTACAACGTAAAAATAACACTCAATATTTCAACCATAACTTGTGAGTAAAATGTAAATAATTGAAACTTATGTCATGAATTTGTAAGATACAAATAAACCAGTAAATACAAATGTATATATTCAATATTTGTTCATATTCCATTTGGCCACCTCTAGTGGTCAGCTTTCAATAAAATTTTGCATCCAATGTAAATCTTGCACACTTTAGTCACGAACTCATAACAATCAATTGAATTCATTAAATTATTAGACTTAGTACGAAAGTCTACAAAAGTGTTTTGAAAGACTATATTCAGAAAAGTGCAGTTATCATAAAACCTTAGCATATAAATACTACCATAAATATACAATCTAGAGGGAAATATAAATTATTATGAAAAACATATGTACATATTCCAATTAAGAAAGACTTCGACCAAAGGATTGCCACAAAAATATACATTATTTTAGGAAAACCTTTTAAAACCTTTGGTAAATTACAAATGAAGACACTAAACCGTGCATAAACTTCAATCTTTTTCTGACTTCTTAGCTTTATATACAAAAAGATCAACTGTACGTTTCATATGAAAAACTAATTGTTGAATACTACTCAATATTATTCTTCGTAACACCTAAAATAGACCTTCACCACTGTTTGACAGCAAGTTTAAAAATATTCACCTTACAATTTTAAAAAGTGCACCTATTAACTAGAAGTTGCTTGTACAATGTAGTAACTCTGCTAAAAATTCAACTACCTTTGGCTACTTTTTACAACATATGACCTCACAAACCTGAAAAATTACAATATGTCACTGGTTCAAAATACAGCTTACATGTATTTACACAAAGGAACTCAGACATCTAACCATCTATGAAACAGGGGAGGGGGGGAAGGGCTTGAATATTCTCTCCAGATCTGCACCAATCACAAGTGATCAAGGGCATCCTCAAAAACTTCTTCATCGTCGTCACTCTCATCATCAGCTTCTACTACATGTACAGTCAAGTCCTTAAACATAAGAAAAAACAAAGACTTAACATTTCCTAACAGCGAGTACTAATCATTGTTAATGAACAGTTGAGACTTAAATTAACTTACAGTGCTGCTTGATACAAGATTCTCCTGCACAGTATCAGGGGATGGGGCACTACAAGGAACTTCTACAAGTTTGGCTAGCCTTGACATCAATTCATTCACCATTGACTGCAGCTGGCAATTTTCCTGATAGAAATACATCAGTGGTAAGAAGAAATAAGATAAGGACTTTTCATAGCATCTGTCACTGAAAAGTCTGTAGCAAAGCAGACCTAAGGAGGAATGCACAGGCTCAAAATAACTGCCGATCAATGGACAATGTCTGGTCAAATATACATTTTATCTGGTCAACTCCTTTGTTGGTTGTCTCGTTGTTTACCCAGGTAAATAAGAATTAAATTCTGTGAGAAGTTTGGGTTCAAATACAGCTGAGTAAATACACTGTCTTATTTTATTTGAGGGGAGGGGGGGTTAGATCTATTTAGATAAGTCCTAAAGGATATTGGGTTGTGTTCAAGCAAAAAATGGCTCTGACCAAACAACTTGACTGGTGCCAACTGGGAAATTATTTCAAGACTTGACCAACAACAACTTAATGGAGCAATGAAGATAGAAATATAACAAAGAAAGCACGCAAAACACAAAACAAACAACAAAAGTTGACCAGCACCATAAATGTAAGGTGCATAACTTTCCACCATTGCTGGATGAAAACTAGAGGTACAGTGGTTGGAACCTTAAGGTCAGCAATTGAATCAACTCTACAGTGTATATGGTAAGACATCCATAACTGCTACTCCATATGATGAACACCACACTAAATGACTTTTTTATTGCCAAAAACTAAACTCACCTCAGACAGACATCTGTTGGTCTTCTCTGCTTCTGTTCTTTTATGTTTTTCCTTGTCTAGTTCCCGCTCCAATATTTTCACTTCGTCTGTTTGTGAATTAAAAAAAGCTTCTGATAACTCTGTCATCCTCTGGTCTGACAACCTTTCATTTTCAAGCCTCAACCTCTCACTTTCTTGTAATTGCTGGACCTCAGCAGTGGCCTGTCGCAGTTCCTAAAACGAAACGCACTCTGTTAGATTGAGTCTTTTAGCTAATAATAATCTGAACTGATTATTCGAATAAAACCTGACTGGACAGAGTTATCAAGTGATACCCCAGTTGTTACAGAAGTACACAATACAATAAATGCTAGCACTACATAATTTCAGTATGTTTCTATCATGTGCCTGTAACTGTTATTCACCAGCATTAAAATATTTCTTTGCCTTAAACCAGTCTATTATACTAATCTTCTTTACAATAAGCTTTCAAACAGTAGTATATGTCCAGAAATATGTACAGTCATGAAAATGGCAAAAATTCGTAAAAATTGTCAAATCTGCTAAGCTGATTTCACTTCAGAGAATTGAATAAAATTAATCAAAATCATCAATTCCACCAAGCTAATTTCGCTCAGACGAATATGACTAAAATTCACCAAAATTGTCAAATCCACAAACATTCACTTGGTTTGATGACATATTTCATCAAATCTACCATTTTCGCTACTGTGTGCATTTCTGGACATCAGTGTTGAGACCTGATTCTTATTACTACCCCTTCTTGTACTTCTACAGGTACAAACTATGTAACGTTATTAAAAACTGGATCATTGGATAATACAATTCAAGAGTTTTTATTGGCTTAGTCATTATGGTATATGAGCCAATATACCATAATCTACAAATATGGTAAGCGTACTCGTCAGCTTAAAATTAAAAGGGAGCTAAAAAATTTAAGATTTGGTAAGATTTGTCTAATATCTTAGGGGCGTTTTTAATAAAACAATTATTCCACTCTTGCTTGTTGGATATGAGATGATGATAGCCAACTCAGCACTACGCGCCTCATTGGCTATCTATCATCTCATATCCAACGCGCACTCGTGGAATAATTGTTAAATATTAATTATGACTCTATTTACAAGGTGTGTCCTTGAGAAATAACCAACTTCATCTGTCTTGAGTACTCATGAATTCATTCAGTCTGCAACTGAACACAAATTGCTCAATGCATACTAAAAGTCCTAACACTTTTACCTCATTCCAACATGAAAATTTTTGGCCAGTCATTTACAAGAGGTCTAACCCAAATCACAGCATTATGCAATCAGTGGGCTTCATGCTTTTTCTATAAGAGGGTTATCTAAGTAAATAAATGTCCTTCCACTTTTAGGTTTTGGCTCCTTTGACATTGACCACAGAATTAACTGTTCAGATAAAAGATCCAGCAAAATTGAGGCTGTGTTGAACAACAGCTAAACTTTGTTTAGATAACTGGCCCTAACTATTAGTGAATCACCACATACTTCTGATCGTTCTTGACGTTCCCTTTCTAAGCGCTCTACTTGTTGCTGATAACTTTCATGTCTTTGGGCTATTTGATGGTGCATCTTCAATAAAATATAAATGTCAGTCACTACAACACAAGTATATGTCTTCAGAGATTAACTCACAAAAAAGGGACACACCCATGCCTCGTGATAATACATAAAATTACAGCCCTTACCTGTATCTGCTCCCCTCTGTGACTTTCATTTTCCTTATGGCGAAAAAAGTTTGAATTCAAATTATATGTGGGTGTAAATGACAAGCCAACTTTAAATATTTCAATAATGAATACAAAAATACTACAACCCACTATTTGTGTAGGAAACTTTCTGAAACTACCTTATCTGCCAAATTTTTCCAAGCGACAATTTACATTTTCATGTATTTTGTCCATTAATAACAGGATAAAATAATTATCCGTTTGACTCATAGAAGTGATCATCATGTTACTTCTCCCTATAATGTCCGTACATTATCCAGCAGGTAGGTGATGAGAATACTCAAACTGATCAGGAAGAAGTTGTTGTCTTAATCAAACATCAAATTCCCGTCAAGAATTTACATGAAAATATTTAGAAGCTAGAGAGGAGATTAAACAATCAGATCTTGGGAGCTTATTAGGGTTGAGGATTTACAAGTCTAAAGCCTTTGTCAAACGGCGCATGATAGTCAATGATAGTTGATTCTCTTCAAACTATCATCAACTACCACCAACTATCATTCGCATGGTCAAATGGCCAAAAAAGTTTTTGATAGTTGATGATAGTTCACCGGCAGTCGCGCGAGCAGCTAGTTCCAGGCTCTTTCCGCATAAAATGTGAACACTTAAACATGGCTTTGTGTGAGACAAACAAACTTGTTGAAGTATGAATTTATCACGACGAAAGAGGGCGGCAGCTTGCTTACTAGTAATCGATTTGTTGGAGGAATGTATGGAAGATGAATCTGGAGAGCGTTGGTGGAAGAGAGGATGGACAAGGGAATGGATTAAAAGGAGAAACGATAGGGGGAAATTGAAATTGGTGGAAGAATTGCGAGTGAAGGACACTGCCGCTTACAAGGAAATGTTGCGAATGAATTTTGAAACATTTCAGGAAATATTGAGCTTTTGGCAGCCATTTTAAACGAGCCCGCCAATTTTCGGGGAAAACAGCTGACCAAAAACTATCATGAACTATCATACGCGTGGTCAAACGAGAAAAACTATCATTGACTATGATCATGAAGAATTTGAACAAGCTCAAAATGAATGATAGTTGGTGATAGACGATGATAGTGCATGATAGTTGGTGGTCAAACGGAAGCGCACGCTTCAACTATCATCGACTATCATCAACTATCATGCGCCGTTTGACCAGGGCTTTACAGGGTAGTGGAACAAATTGCACGACTGGTGATTTTAAGCTACAAATACAGCAGGGTGATGTCGAGAGGAAGTTTAGCCCAGTTTGCTAAGGTGCCACCCTATTCAAAATGACTTTTGTGAGAAACTTCCTAATAACTGAAAAGTACTGATTACTATAACTAGTCCTGACTGAAAAAAATAATGCTCTTGCAATATTTTTATCTATCACCATAATTGAAGAGACACTCAACTTGTATTGATTTTGGGAAACTTACCACTATAATCTGGTCTTTCTGTTCGCACAACTAAAACAAACAAGCAGATTAAGCATATGATAAGCATAGAGGTCTACTGTTAAGAAAACATTAACGAACTTGTGCGTGCGCGACTCGCGGGCGCGTGCTTTGGGATTACGTAGGTTAATAATATCGTAAGCAAACCACTCGGAACTTTTAATTTTGACGTGTGTGATTTTTTAGAGGGAGTTGAAAAGTTTTTAGTTTATCGAATAGCAGTTTTGTTTAATGGTTGTTTGCCGTGAGTCTACAGTTTACCGTGTTGGAATTAAAGTGTTTGTTTTGGATTTCCCGTTTCGCTTCCAAACAGTCTACCTTGATTGTGACTTTGTGTCTACAGTCATTACTGAATAAACTTTAACTTCACTATGGCCAGATATAGTTATTAACGAATAGGGGTTTAATTGTAACACTTACCAGTCTGAGTTGCTGAATCTCCTGATCTTTCAATTCACACATCTGAAAAGTTTAAGATTCAGTTTGATATTAACCAAACATTTCAGACCAATTCAAAAGATTTCCTGTAAATGGCTACTTTAGACACAACACCATAAGTCAGGAATACTCTGCACGGTTTATATAATCTAGCAGCTAGGGGACAGAAATCACCAGGACAGAGTACAAACCTCTTGAGTCATTCCTATCAGGCGCTGATTTTCATGTTGTAGATGGTTGCTGTTATCCAGATATCTTTGCAACTTTAAACCAAGAAACAAGTAATGAGAATTAAATATAAAATAAAGATACAGGACAACAGGCTTCAGGACTCCATGCTCAGCAATTAGGTTTATCACAAAAGAAAACTTATATGGAGCACATTATAATGGTGTTGTATGCAGAGTAAAAGTTTTTCTCACACTTTAACTGAACAAGATGCAAGTTTAAGGCAGTAAAATAAGCAACCACTGTGTCACATTTGATCAATTTTTTTTCTTGCCATGATTGCAGCTTAGCTGACTGCCCTAGCTTAGCTTCCAACATGGAAAGGAAAATTCTTTATTAGAAAAACAAACTTTTCTTTCAATATATCATAATTGTCACAATTTCACACTGAAATAGCACCCTTCAATTTTACTATAATGTAGATGAGGTTTTATTTGTTTCAATGGCTACCAGTGAAAATTATATTATCCACCTCTGCACATATATGCAAAATTGTACACCTCTATAACATTTATTGATTTGCTTGCATCAGCCTTTTCGTATGACCATATTTGTTAATAAATTTGTACGTCAAAGAACACACAGTTCTTACTCGGTTGTCTGAACTAATTTTTATTGTAAAATTATAACTGTGACTACGCTCAACAAAAATCTTGTACACATTGAGGGCTAAATATAAATAATAAAGCCTCAAAAAAGAATATATATTTTACTCGAGATAACATCCAATTTGTTGTAAAACATTACTGCACTTATTATATAAGCAGAATGTCTCTACTGTCGTCTGTTTTATCTGGTGTTGACTTACATAAAACCAACAGATCTTAATTTAGCAATGACATGGTATATATTCTTCCATGTCATTGGTTTGTTGAGAAACTTAGTTCCTGAAGAGCAAGGTTCATGTTACAAACCCAAATCTGATTGGTTGACACAGCTAGTAACTTAATATATTCCCAAAGATCTCATTAAAAATGTACTTGAGATCTGATTGGTTCATTCAATGTCGCAAGCACATTTTAAAATGGTGTTCAAGTACATTTTTAAATGGGGATGTGTTCTATCAGTTATATAACTAGAAATGCAAAGAATATTCTTTACAACAGTATCACCTAGTCAAACTTTACCTCATCAATGGTTGTTTGAAGCTGAGCACACTGCTGTCTTGAATGCTAAAATTAATCACAAAGCAATAATGATAAGTTTACAAAGTTTAGTCACTGGAGCACACTCAACCTGCTTTATAAACTCAGCTTCCAATAAATTTATCCATAAAAAAAGACCCGCACTTTGTAGTATGTTCAATTTAATCAAAATTGGACAAAAAAACCATATAGCAAATGAAAAAAAACAAACTGAAAGGAAGATGGAAATAATTACTGGCAAATTTTTGTAAACTTAGAATCGAGATGCAATTGCTGCAATGTGCAGTTCAAAGGTCATTTCTTAAAGTATCTCTGAGGCTTAGTGGCCACTGAACAGCCTCAGTTTCAGGTCTGCAAAATCTGCGAGCCACAGTGCGAGCCATGTGAGTCATGCAAGCCATTTTTTTGCAAGTACTTTTTTTCTTTGATTGGTCCAAGGTCTGGGAGGTCGTCGATCATTTCACGCCCGACTATCACTAAACTACTATCTTTATAAACCGTCCACCCGCCGCCATCTTGAAAGTGGAGATGATCCTGGGGGTGAGTGTAAATGGTACAACCACCCTCCCAGAGTACTCTCTCTTTCCCTGGGAAATTCATTCTAAATTTAGCTACAAAAGTGCTTAAAATTTAAATATTCCTAATCCTAATTAGAAAAAATCCTAATCTCGCTTCGGTTGCCAGAACTGTTGCTGGTGCGTCATTTATGAAAAATGCTCTGAACATCTGTACGTAGTGCCAAGTCTTGCGTCATACTAGTAGCTGTCCTGAGTTGGACGAATGTTTTTCTTCGTTTCATATTTTTATTTAGAAAGAATTTTATCTATTCAAATCGCTCAGGATCCGCAAAAAATAAAAACAATGCGACAAAAATTAATTAAGGTTCAAGACTTAAGTAAAAATGTTTTCTGAGGAAAACGTATGGCTCCACCCCCTTCTGCCACTCAAACGGGTTGTTGAGTGGTAATCCATTAACTCCTGTCATTCATTGATATCCACATGGAAAATCATTCAAGAGAAAAGAGAACAGTACTTGCAGGGCAACTCCGTGTATTGCCATCAAGAATGGTGAGTAATTAAATCGCGTAATTTTAACAGCTTCGCTCTTAAGTGAATCAGAGTTATCTTGTTCTGTTGCTCTTGTTCTGGTTCTCATGCAAATATAAATGTAACAATACGTATGATGCACGATCCTCGCAGTAGATAGCGCTATTTAAGCAATAGCGAAATTCAGACCTGAAAAAAATCAGGCCTGTACGGGACTCGAACCACTGACCTCTGCGATACTAGTGCAGCGCTCTAACCAATTGAGCTAACAAGCCAACTGAGAGCAGGCCGTTAAGTTGATTCGTAATGAACCCGTGAAAGTGATAAATGAGATAGAATAAATATATGAAAATCATATATTTTGAACTGCGGTATTTGATACGTATGATG